CCCGCCTTGAATGTGCTAATCAATGTTAAGAGTTGTTGTTTGATTCTCCTGAGGTATGGAATGATTTGCTGTGTGATGTTGTGATGCATAGAGTATCCCCCCAAAACCTATAAAATCTCACTGAACAAAGGACTGGGACTCACTCCCTGAGACCCCTGTGTCGGGAATGGTCGTGAGTCCAGGCTCGAGCTTGCAATAGAGACTCTTGTGTGATTGTATCGGATTTGGCTCCTGAAGGTCTATTGGGGTCCCATGAATCTGGCATAACAATCCTTGCACAAATGACACTAATTCATTGAGTCCTCAGACTCATATATAAAAAAAATCAGATTTCCAATATGGTTTGAGCTAGACCCATCTTGTGTCTTATGTCTAAATTCTACATTGCATTTTTCTTGTCAATCTCTTGCTCTATAGATGACAATATTCTTTTTTTGAGAGAGAGAGAGAGAGAATTTTTTTAATATTTATTTATTTATTTATTTATTTTTAGTTTTCAGTAGACACAACATCTTTATTTTATTTTTATGTGGTGCTGAGGATCAAACCCAGCGCCCCGCGCATGTCAGGCGAGCGTGCTACCGCTTGAGCCTCATCCTCAGCCCCAACAACATTCTTTTTTCTCCCTTCAGAATGAACCAATTTCAGTTTTGCATTTATTATTTGAAAATAAATTTAATTATACATTCTTCCCTGTTTTTTTCAAAAGGTCATTTGGTTTTCTAAATTACTCAAAATCTAGCTGAAATTTTTGTTAGAAACTCCAAAGAAAGATACACTGTAATTTTCCTTGAAGGTAAAAATTTAAGTGTTGGAGGAACAAATCTAGCCTATGGCATGAGGCTTTTACACTAGAATTCTAAAAACTGAATGTGTCTTATGATGTTGATTAATATACATGCTGACCTTTTCCCCCACCAAAAGGTGTCCAGAGACTTTGCATGTCAATCACTGCGACCTTTGAGTCTTAAAGACACAGAAAAGCAATAAAGGCAAGTGTTACTATTACTTGTTGTTCAAATATTTAAGTTTGCAATCTTACTTTGATACTATTGCTTTATTTTTAAAAGACAGTTATCTAAGGAAGTGTGAAGATGCTGATTTGATGAAAACATCTAATTACTACTAGAATGATACAACATATTTTTTGCAGACTGCACACAACCCAACCTTTCCCAAACAAGGGTTCATCTATGGCCCACTGAGCAATAGTGACTATCCTTAAGCCAAATGGATAGACAACTCAAATGTTCTGTTATTTTTAGTGTATTTATTCAGAAAGCAATGTTGTTTATTTCCAAAAAATTGGCTGCCCAATTATATAGATGATTTCAAAGGACAATAAAAAGCTTTAAAACAGTGATAAGAATGCCACAAAGATGATCAAATGGATTTATAAGAAACAAAGTTAAGGATTAAGGTGTTTTTTTTTTAACCCAGAAAATTGAAAATTTATCTGGGTGGAGATGAGTTTATTGCAATCAGCTTCTACTGTTTGAAAGATTACTTTATAAAAAAATCATAACTCTGATCTTTATTCCTACTAAAGATAGGTCAGCAAGAAGTTAATCATGAAGGAATTACATCAGGTCCAGGCAGAAAGGTCAATGGAGATACTTGAAAGGAGTTATCTTATCCTGCTCTCTCCTGATCTGTTATGGCTATCCTAGGGTCAGAGGAATGGACTGTTACCTCAGAGCCCAGATCCATCTGCTTCCCAGAGAAAAGTGTATTCACCTGAGTCTTAAATATCTCCCAAGGAAAAACTGTGGCCTCTCTCAGTGTCTTATTTCAGCCTTTTAAATTCTTAAAGCAAGAACATGTTAATGCCAAATCAAAAGCCCCCCTGGGTAGTTAGACTCATTTTCCTCCTTCCTTGGGCAGGGAGGATAAGGGTCACCAACACATGTGACATCCTCAAGTTACAGGTACCAAATTCTCACACCATTGTCTTTCTTTTCTTTTGTTTTTTTCCTCTAACCCTCACTGGATCTATTTCCCAAAGTTGTAATTATTTTTTTTGCCCTTCTGGTTTTGTGATGAATGGCAATCCTGACATCCCCTGACACTGAGAATTCTTACCTTTATCTTTGCATTAAGATTTTTTTTTTAATTTTTTTTTTTTAAAGAGAGAGTGAGAGAGGAGAGAGAGAGAGAGAGAGAGAGAGAATTTTTAACATTTATTTTTTAGTTCTCGGCGGACACAACATCTTTGTTGGTATGTGGTGCTGAGGATCGAACCCGGGTCGCACGCATGCCAGGCGAGCGCGCTACCGCTGAGCCACATCTCCAGCCCTGAGCCACATCTCCAGCCCTGAGCCACATCTCCAGCCCAAGATTTTAATGCAAAGGAATGTACAACAGAAATAGGTCATTTTTCTTCTGCAGATCACCAATTGCAAGATTTCTTTCATAAAAACCGGTATATCAATTTTCTATTGAAAGTACATTTTTGTGAAGCATAAAAAAATTTAATCCTGAGCTCTGTAGCTGTCAGAAAAATGAATGGTTCTTCTATTTTGAAATGGCTGCCAACAAATATGAGGACTGGATATCATTTCTCTCTTGTCAGGCTTCTCTTTATGAATCTGGCGTTACAGGTGGCTGAAATAGCGTCTCATTATCAAAGGCTGGTATGTTTTTTCTTTATAGGGCTTATAGTCCTACTGCCTAGGACTGAAGGATAATCTGAGTGGAATAGTGCTTAACATAGACAATTGAAGAAAGTGCTGGTTTGGCATTTATTTTCTTTCTTTTTTTTTTTTTTTAAAAAAAAGAGAGTGAGAGGAGAGAGAGAGAGAGAGAATTTTTTAATATTTATTTTCTAGTTCTCGGCGGACACAACATCTTTGTTGGTATGTGGTGCTGAGGATCGAACCCGAGCCGCACGCATGCCAGGCGAGCTCGCTACCGCTTGAGCCACATCCCCAACCCATTTATTTTCAATTTATATTTGCTGAGTTGAAATTCATCTAACATAAAATTCACCACTTCAAAGTGAATAATCAGTGACATTTAGAACATTCATAATGTTGTATAAGCAACAACTACATCAAATTCCAAAAGAATTTTTTATCACCCTATAAAGAAACTCCATTGCAACCACAGGGCCCTTGATATTGTTGATCTGCTTCCTGTTCTGATGTGTTTATCTTTATGTATGCAAATGGAATTATACAATGTGTGACCTTTGGCTTTCACTTAGCATAGTATTTTCAATGTTTACCCACACTGTAGCATGTATCAATACTTTATTAGTTTTTTTTTAATAATATCTTTATTTTGTTTATTTATTTTTATGTGGTGCTGAGAATCGAACCCAGGGTCTCACACGTGCRAGGCGAGTGCTCTACCACAATCCCAGCCCTCATTAGTTTTTTTAATGACTGAAAAATATTCTATTGTATATATCAACCACAATTTGTTTAGCCATTCAATCTTCGATGGATATCTGGGTTGTTTCTATCTGTTGGCTATTGCAAATAGTGCTTCTATGAACATTTGTGTAGTAGTGTTATTTGTTTCAATTTTTTAGATACATAGAGAAGAATTACTAGGTCATATAAGAATTTTATGTTAAACTTTAGAGGAACTACGAAACTATTCCCCTACATTTATTTTTTAAAAGGAAAACCACTGTACTGTGCTGCAGTCTGGTGGGCACAAATCACGAGCCACTCAAGCAGGAACAAACTTTATTTCTGAACTCCCGGGAACGCCACCCACGAGGCCCTTCCAGGCACACCACACACCAACCGGAACTCCCTCCACTGGAACTCCACCCACCAACGCGAACTCCCCAGGAATCCCACGAGAACTCCAAAGTAGCGGGTRCCCCAGGYGGACAGCAGGGGTCTATATACAATTGAATACACAGCCTGTTTCAATCCAGCATCATCTAGTCACAGCAATTATAGACAGCTTAACTTAATATCATCATCTTAATAGCTCACCTCTCAACCATTACTTCCGGCAAAATGCCAAGGGCCATTCCGACTAGGCTGTGGCTCTCAGCAGTACTGGGCTAGGGATGTTGTGCTTGTCTAGCACACGTGAGGCACTGGATTCTATCCTCAGCCCCACAAACAAATAAATAAAATAAAGCAATCATGTCCATCTACAACTAAAAGGAAGGAAGGAAGGAAGGAAGGAAGGAAGGAAGGAAGGAAGGAAGGAAGGAAGGAAGGAAGGAAGGAAGGAAACCAACCACAGTACTCATGAACTTGTCTTAGCAAGGGGAGAACAACTCTCTGAACCTAAGGGAAATTTTCTGAAGAATTATTGGCAATGATAGTGTTTTATCCAACTGACTCCTATTCCGGGACTGTCAGAACCAAATACAACAGCAACAATAACCACAAGCTCCATAAAATACCAGAAGGGGAAATCTTAAATCAGCTCCAAGTCCAGTCAAGTTTTTGCCATATTGTTTCTTTAAGATGATGCACTCAGCACAGGTCTAATGCCCCTTTGGCCATGTTGCTACCTCTGATAACCTCAAAGTCAATTAAGAAAACTGCTTTAAATGAGAAAGCCAATTCTGATGAGGTTTATTCTGGGGAAGTTTCAGAACTCATGTTTATGTCCCTCTCTTCCTGTGAGCCTAAGGATCTATGCTTTGAATATTTGACCAATTTTAGCAAATTAAATTTCATTTGATTATCATATAGGAAGACATCTCCTTGTTTTCCTAGAAACTGCTAGTCTGTTATGGGCAAATTGATGTAAAGACTTATTTGCCTATTGGAGAAACAGACTGGTTCTTTAATAATTCATGCCTTATGTCCAGTTTTCTGACTGTCTTCATAGACCTTCCTTTTATGACATTATTACTGTAGGTGTAGCAGGGTCCTGAATAATATGTAACTCACATCCATCCTCTAGTGCCAATAAAAGGCTTAGGAGAACTTTTCACCAACCCTATAATTTTCTATGCTCGACCAAGTTGTGCTGGCCATTGTGTACCATGTAATCGCAACCATAACAGAGTTAAGATAGAATGAATAAGAAACAAAAATGCTTCCCTTTATTGGAGATTGATAATATTTGAGATAACATGCCCAAATAGTGCACCCAGAAAAATGAGCTCATCCATCATGAATCTTGCCATGTTGTAATTCAGGATTACTCCTCAGAATTATAAGGTTATTATAGTCCAAGAGGTCTGGTTGCCAGAGAATGAATCCTCAGAGAACCCTAGATAGCCCGAGTCAGAGGAATCATTCCTTGGCTGCTAATCCACTGTGTCTATAATAGTTCAGTCCTGATCCCTGACATTATGCTGCCTGAGTCACATGCTCTCAGAGAAAATGACTTCAGGTTTAAGTAGAAAGGTCAAAAGAGGACAGGGAGGCAGGGAAACTTGGGGTTAGGCAGATGCACTGTTTGGTCAGAAGTTATAGGGACAGATTAGGGAGAATTGACTCTGGTGAGGGTCTCACTCTCTTCCCATTGAAAAAGACTTCTCCTTGAGGCAGCTCAGAAATTCCTGAGAATAATGATTATACCTGTGGAGAAACCCAGTTGTACATAATTGGTTATAGCAGACAGGAGACAGTCCGGCACTTCAGGCTTCAAACTTATTCAGGAGATTTGGTTCATAGAAGAATTTATATTAAAACCTTAAGTCTCAATCTTTCCATATCCCAGGGTTATCACCTTAAGGATACTATGCTCATCAGAGCCCTCAAGTTTAATTAACATTTTCCAAGGACAGGAAAAATTATTCCTCATATGAAAATCATCTCTTAGTGATTTATCTTCTTCAGCTGTTACAAAACAGTATGTTACTTTGATATTTTTTTAAAAATCTTGGAGAATGCATCTGATCCAAATTAATAATGCATAGCAATATTTTTGGATGATGCTTGGATTTGCTGCTCATGTAAACTGAGCCCAGTCTCCACATTACATTAGGGTTTGTCAGGTGATGTCCTTTCAGAGGGCACACAGCGCTCTTCCTCCTCTTTCCAGAGCAGAGGACAAGATCTTGGTAAAAGCACAAGGCTCATACAACTAAGGAGAATTCTTTTGGCCCTTATAAAATTCTAAGCCTATTAAACCAAAATAGGGCATCACATCAACTTTCTGAAAGCCCCAAGAATGATTCCTCTATCTAATACAGGGAAAATGAATTGCAGAACCTCAATAAAAACAAACATCCGTCAATGTTGCCATTCCCATCTGATCCCTCTTTCTGACCCAGCAGCAATACCAAAGGAGTTTTGTGGAAGGGAAGCCTGGTTTCTCTAGTATAAATCTCAAAAGGTCAGGAATGTGTTTCAGCTTCCATCAGTAAACTCCTATTAATTCACCAGACATAGGATTTACCTAACCCTTTAGAAACTATTTCTGTTACCCAGTCTATGGCAATGGAAAGCATCCTGCCAGTTTATACCAAAAATAGAGCAGCACTCTCTCCTACCAGCCCATTTGCTGGAGATTTAACTCTTTCAAAGTGTTCCCCACCCTATCTGAAACTTACTTCACTGATGCTACCTTGTTAGGCCCTATAAGAGAGCTCTCTCCTACTTCTCAGCCTTTGATCTTCAGGAAAGCTCTATTATCATAGGCCCAGTTTTCTCCACTGATGTCTACTATTACTCCCACTTCAGTCTCAGGAAAGAGAAATATTTTCCTGTGGTCCAAAGGGGACATTTTGATAATGTTCCCTAGTTTTTGGTGGGGTACAATGTGGAGGCAATACCTTTGGGGCCTACAGTTTGCTTACCTGAAGTCTCTCACAGAATATGCTGTTGGTTTCCTCTGAACTGCTGTTGTTCCTGCTGCAGTTCCTGAGGAAAACAGAAGCTCAGTGTTGCTGCTGCCTGGGGACAGTTCAGCACCAGCACTGATTGGCTTCAGGCCTCTCAATACTTCAAAGTCCAGGACCAAATTGGCCTCTAACACAGAGAAAGGCCAAAATCCCTCCTACAGTCTGTAATTTCAATCCATGTCCCACATGGGGATGATCTGCTTCCCAGGATGACTGATAGTGGAAACATTCATTCTCTAAAAAGAAAAAGTCTACTTCCACACAACCATCCAGCCCAATAGGTACCCCTTGACCTCAAACATACAATCTCAAAATGGCCTAATATTGGCCTACTTCCCCAAATTAGGTAAGTCTTTTTTTTTTTTTAATATTTCTTTTAGTTGTAGATGGACACAATACCTTTATTTTATTTTTATGTGGTGCTGAGGATCGAACCCAGTGCCTCACAGGTGCTGGCAAGTGCTCTACCACGGAGCCACAACTCCAACCCTGGGTTAGTCTCTTTTATCCATGGTCATTTTGACATTTGTATTTTCTACCCTTACCATTTCTTAGTTACAAGGATCTCTAGGTCTGCTAGAGTGTCTGTCAGGATTCAGTATGGGTCTGCAAAGACATGACATACTGCCTATAGGTAATTGAGAGAAGTTAGTAGGCACTATGTATAAGGCATGCGCAGAGTAGTATATGGGTTTAGCAACAGTGAGGTGCTGTTGTTGCCCATAAATCTGGAATGAGAAGGCAAAGATGCTTTTCCTCAGAAAGATTATGAAGAGAGCTGTTTGATAAGATGGCTGACATTCGGTAGATAGACTCAGCCAATTTTGGGTGCTATGGGAGGGAAAGAGCTGAGGAGTAAATACCCCAATTCCCTCTCCTCCACCTTCCAGTCTCCTGCCACAGTGCCTTTCGTCCCCATCCCACTCACTAAACCCAATCATAAAGTAGAAGCCAGGGGGATTTGTTGATGCTGTCCATATAAGGTCAGTCTCCCAGGATTAGAGCAGGGCAGGAAAGGGTAACAAGTCCATTTGGAGGAAAAAACAAGCTAACAAAACTACCTATGGTGAAACTATAGTTTTAATTGTTCTCTAAATTTATTTCTTAAAAGTTGCAAGAACTGTTCTAAAGTTACTGTAGGGATTCTACCAGTTGATGTATCTCATTTTTGCCTCCTGATTTTCAAAGCTTTAACCATAGACCCTCTTAAGTCATTGCTTTCTAGAACTCAAGAGCCCTCATCATTTCTGTTGGTCCCTACTCAGCAGCAGCCTTTTCTTTTCAAAAACTTTACTGTACCTCTCTACACCTTCTGAATATCTTTTGTGGTTTCCTTAAGGGGCAGCCATGAGAACTGCATACTTGATTCTAGAAGTATTTGTCCTAAGGTAAAAATTATGCTAATTCAACCATGAGAACTCTAAGATCAGTAGAGTTAAAATAACCTTTAGGGAAACTGAAATCATGGTGGTGTTGCAAATTGAACATTTCAATTTAGGTAGTTAGGAACCATAAACTGAAGGTCAAAGCAGGGCTTGGGATGGAAGTTTCCATAAGTTTTAATATATGTTTGGTGGTTTGAAACAATTCTTTTTATAGGGGGTGTTTTTTTTTTTTTTTTTTTTTTGCACAGCACAATCAAATAGGAGCCATGACTAGATAGGAAATGTGTATGAATCCATTCCAAATGTGAAATTATTACCAAAGCCTTAAGTGGGGGGAATAAGGGTGAGACGAGGGGAAAGGCAGCTAAATTTTTCATTCTGTTGGAGAATGGATGACTTAATTTTTGATATTGATGTAAAAGCATGGGTTTAAATTTTTAAGGGCCACCATTAGCACTATAAAGATGGGAATAAAAAGTTTGTTTTTTCTCAGTGTTGGGGATTGAATGCAGGGCCTTGCACATGCTAGGCAAGCACTGTACCATTGAGATATACCCCCATCCCTTTTCTTTGTGTTTGTTTTTTTTTTTTTTTTTATTTGGGAGGTTTTTGTTTGTTTGCTTTTAGAAATCAAAATTTTATAAATAGGGGAAGACAGGGATAACAAAACCTCTACCATCTTGCACAAATCAGGAAAGGAAAAAAATGTAACTAGGAAGTATAAATAAGTAACAAACATAAATTAAAATGACAGACTTACCAGATTCTTCTTCATTATCCATCTGGAATTCATTTTTGTCTCCTCTTTCAGTCACCATGTCTGGGAAGTTGACTCACTTGATTTTTTCCTTGGAAAAGACTCTCATGTCTGACCCTTCCCATTCCCACCACTCCCCCTTTAATTCCCTTGAGCCTGTTCTAACACAGTAATTCTCGCACAGCACGTCCTACCCCAGTGTTATCCACAGCAACTACAGCATCATCATAAAGCACAACATTACAGCCCTGCTCAAAAGCTTTCTTTGTTCTTTTTTTTTWAAATTTTTTGTAGTTGTGGATGGACAGCTTGCCTTTATTTGTTTCATTTTCATGTGGTGCTAAAGATGGAACCCAGTGCTTCTTCACACATGCTAGGCAAGTGCTCTGCCACTGAGCTACAGCCCCAGCCCCAAGCTTTCTTATCCCCATTTCTTACCTGGTTTTTGAGACCTTCTACAATAAGACCCCAGCTAAGTGTCTCATCGATTCTAAGAAACATTTTTTTTTTTTAAAGAGGCATTGAAATGTCTCTAAAATTAGATTGCATCTTACAATTGACGGAAATCATAGTTTCTTAGATTCAGTGGTCTTTTCCTAGTTTACCTTGGCTATAGGATACCTCTATTCTAGACAGCAGAACTTCTCACTTTGCTATGCTATGGTAACTCATTCTTTCTCAACTAAAACTTTTGTTTAGACATTTTCCTGTCCATATATCCTTTCCCCTGAAACTCCTGTCTTAAGTCAGTCTGTAAAAATCCAGGTGACCTTTAAGGCCCAGCTCAAAAGCCATTGCCTCAAAGAACTTTGTTCACCACCTCAGCTGAACCTCAGCCTTCTGAGTCCTCTTTCTTTGTCTTTGTCTTTCTTTGCCACTCTAGTAGCTGTCATCATATTCTTCCTTGTAAAYACTTGTGTACGTATTTGGTCTGCCTCCTGGAGTTCTGAAAATTGCTCAAGAGTGCAGCTAAAATTGTGACATTCTGTGAGGAAACATAGGTTTGTCTTACTAAAGCAAACTAAGACATTTTGAACAGTTTWAAAAAAAAAAAAATCTGCAAAGTGCAGCCATTTCAGAACTCAGTAAAAGCTCTGCTTTGAACTGCCCTCTAGAGGTAGTACCTCATCAGTGAGCCAGAGAGAGCAGTAAGACCATGGGATCAGAGAAATACTGAATGATGCCCAGCTAGGGTGGAGAGCTAAGGGCAGTGGCTGCTCTATGGGCAGAACTTGCTGATTGGCCCTGTTCATGGGAGTAACCGCTGGAAAGGTCAAGCTTTGGGAAACCATGTTGCTTAGACTGCCAGCCTTCTCCACTATCCTCACATGAGTCACTGTGATGTTCTGGGAGGGTGGTGCCTGAATAAGTTAACAGCTTCCCTCAGGAAATTCAGACTGGGCTGGAAGTCCAAGAACTCTGGGTCACCTACACAGGCTCTGAATTGTAACCCAGCCCTGTTGGAGAGCACAGCCTCAGAAGGGAGGGCTACGAGTCCGCGTCATTGACTGTGACAGATTCTTTTCCATCACAGCTTATTTTGAACTGCCCAAAGTCATATGGGTAAATCTTTACTGGGATACATCCATGAGCTTTCTCCATCCTCTCTCCCCTCATTTTTTTCTCAGTGAACTTCGGTGAAAAAATAAAAATCAATTCAATGCCCTCTTGCTATTGCCATGCTGTTCTGTGATTAAATTTAAAAGGATGTGTAAAATTTCCTGCTGAGTTCTGTTTCATAGGGCTAATGTCCTTTTCTATAAGGGAACCCAGAAGTTACCTGACCTGACCATGGATAACCTCTCCAGCCTCAGTGCCTACCAGCTGAGAGGGGTTAGACTTAAGAAACTGGAGGTCCCCACCAGATTCAGCATTCTAACATCTGCTTTTTGCTCCACAGAGCTCACCTCCTAAGCACTGGTTTTATGCACTAATGAGTCTGAAGCCCACTTTGCTCTGAAGCAAAAGGYTTGGCATGATGTGATCTAGGCATATCCCTTGACAGCTTTTTCCAGAAGGTGACATTCTCTCCACAGCTTCGCACCAGAAGGTGCATAAAAGTCACATTTGTTGACCTGATTTTACCAAAAGAATCCATTTTGTCTTGGGAATATTTTCCTCATTAAAAAATTATAGTTTTTATTAAGGAAAAGATAGGCAATATAGAAAATTATAAAGAAGGGAATAAGAAAACCTCTCAAAGATAGTATTGTTAACATTATAACATGTGTATGTATGTACCCTTGTGATAATTTTTCTTTGTGTGTATAGTCATTTGATTTTTTAAAAAATAATTGATACAGAATTGGAGTTAGGTCTCCCAAACTGTTTTTTTCAGCCTGCTTTTCTTTCCTAATGATAAATAATTAGCATTTTTCTTTGTTAGTATCTAACAATTCACAGAGGACTCTGGAGTTACCCCATCTGAATTTCAATCCTGGCTGTCACTTACTGTGACCCTTGGATATGTCCTTTAACTGAAATAATTACTTTAGATTCCTTATCTGTAATGTGGGGATAAATAATGGTTCCTATCTTACAGAGCTGTCATGAATATTTAAATGAGTCAACATTTGCCAAGCACTTAGGACAATACCAGGCAGGTAATGAGGACTTTAGAGGGCTAGCTCCAGTGACTATGACTACTACTACATTTTTTTCTACAAAAAAAAAAAAAAAAAAAAAATTTTTTTTTTTCAGTACTGGGGATTGAACTCAGGGCCTTGCACAGGCTAGGGCAGCATGCTGCTACTGAGCTGTATATCTGCAGTGCCTACACTGCTATTTTGAAGACTGGATATGGTTAGAGTGTTTGGCTGTGGCATAATGCATTTAGTCAAGATCCCATTGTTGAACAGAATGTTCTTTTCTGGTATTATGAACAATATTGAAACAAACATCCTTCTCCCATTCCATTTGTCTTTTTTTTTTTCCAAGATAAATTCTATTGTGTAGATTTAAGGT